ATAATGACGCTATTAGTAGATTTTTTCACCTTTCTTTTTTATAGAGATATTAATCTCTTTAGATTAGCGAAATGGTCACAGAAGAGATTTACGTTTTATTTTTGGTTATTTTACCTTAAAATTATGTAATACAGATAAATCATTTCTTGGCAATAAAAGTATACTCAGTGTGAAAAAGTCGATGAAATGTGTTTTAAAACTCTCTTCCTCGAAAAGAAACATTAGTCTATGGGTTTTTTATTTTTTAGTCCTAACAATATAGTGAATGTTGTTTATTATGTTTGACTCTATTCTTTCTCAGTCATTCCATAGTAGGTAATGAAATACTGAAGATGAACTATCACGATCTTTCAACTTGCGGAAAAGTAGACTCTACATAGTTAAAATGAATACTTCAACATGCCCGCAAAGTAGAGTAACAGGTGTAAGTGGCATAGCGCAGAGTTTGTAAAACGTCTCGTTTCAAAATATTAATGTTGTACAAAAGTTGATCCGAGCTTCGCGGGTTTAGGGTGTTACAACGCGGCGCTTGCGCCACCTTTGTCGGGTTTTGCATTCTCGATTCATGCTCAGCGAATCTGTAACTATAGCTCGTTCCTATTTGTAGTAATTTTGATAGTTTACGGGTAACTGTTGTGAATAGCAATGATGAGTCCGTGTTTAATTCAATTGTGCTCACTGGTGTGTTATACATAAAGTCCATAGCTTGGTCACAATAAGTCATTGTCTTTGAGATTTTTAAATATGGTTCCTTGAAATTAAAAAATCTTTGCCTCAGAGGTAATTGGGGTACCTTAATAAATACATAGAAAACATAAATTTTATCGGAAAAGTTACTGACACAAATAAGTTCATGATAATCACGTAATAGAAGACACAGATAAAATATTGACACATTTGAATCGATACAAATTATAAATTCCAATATGACATAACATGGAGATATCAAATCAATTTGACAACAACGCACATTCTTGTAACACATTACAGGAATCAATTGAATATACATAGTATGAATAATATATTACACATTAATTGCATATTATACCGATGGATTGTTGGGATTGCGAGATAAGAGCCGTGTCGTGGCGAACGTGATGTATCGCGATTGCATCTAGGTTACAACATTGTAAACAAACACCTGTCACATAAATATGTTGGGTTTTGTTTTGCTAAGCCGGTATTTTTTACGCTTGTCGCTTGTTTTTAGCTGGTTTCAGCTATTTTCTAGCTATTCGCGGGCGAAGAGAAGGGGTTAAAAAGATGTGTCTCAAATAAATACTGTCAAAATAGGAAACCTGCACTCATATAAGACTTGAGGGACAAGTTACATTCTTGAGAGTTAACAAGATATACCTATTTATGTCTAAGTAAATAATCAACACGATACATAACGAAAATAATGATTTCTTTTAAAGCAAAGATATTTTGAAATCCGTAATGGAATTCCAATAAAACAATAATGGGTTCTTGCATTTGGAAGGTTCTAAAGCCAGGGTGCTTTAATAAAATCGTTAAAATTGATACGTTTGAGGCACGCGCATTTGAATATAGAGCATTTTAGTGATGTGGACCACGATCAGTTTTGTTAATTTAGTAGGTATATTAGGTAGCCAATTTTGGAAAAGTTTTTAAAAATTCATATTATGTCGCTATATTAACTTTCCGGGAAAAACTTGACCTTCATTGGTTGGGTTTTCATGGCGGTCAAGCTGTAGATCCTGGCTACACAGGAGTTGCAGTAGTGGGAACGAGAGGTGGGAATAGTCCCGTATATTAACAAATAGAGTAAATATTTGAAGTTCGATGTATTCGAACAATGGTAAAATGAAACTTGAGTGCTTAAATTACCTATTCCTAAAATATTTTTTTTATACATTCAAGAATGTAGAGTTTCTGCGCAAAACCGAATTTGGAAACGATGACAACAATTTAGCAGTGGTTCAAAAATCGAAGACCATTTCACTCGATTCAAATTCGCAAGATCGAGTATCGATTCTGGTGACGACGCATCACAACCTTCGTTGGTATAAGATCGTAAAAGCCGGCACATTGTCAATATTGCACGTCAGTGGAGGGTATTGAACTGGCGATGCATACCAACACCCAGGTAGGGGAGAACTCGACGTTTCAAATGCACGCGGAAAATGCCGTTTGTGTTTGAAAGTAAGGGTCAACTCTCTTGGATGTGTTTGAACAAAGAAATGCGCCAGCGCACGGTTGAAGCCAATAAAACTAAACTTACTCGATTTGTTTTACCTGTTTATTTGAACCAAGTTTGATCAATGTTTGTTCAAATAATATTGGACCTTGGAGAGGGAAATATGTTATCTTTTATCGAACAAACAAACAAAACAAGACAAAACCAAGGATCGAAGCTAGTAGTAAAGGTTTCCATTTTTTGTTTTTAAGGTTCCGTTTTGAGCAAAATTTGTCACTTGTCATAGGTGGTAAAATGAAAAGGACCGTTTAAACGGATATTAATCAACCATAACAAACCTTCTAACTTCCACTATTCACTAATTACAGCCAAGTTTAGCAATGATAAATGAACGATTTCGACCGTTTAAAAAGTTAAATTGATTTATAAATGGATGACAGCTATATCAATGGTTTGACTGACCTCCAATTTATGTTCACTTGCACAACGGTGCTTGAGTTATTAAGGCGCATTGTGTAGGTATAGGTATTAGACGAAGACATTAACAGTTGAAGATAGGTGTGTACTGTGTAACAGTGGCTTCAGAAAGCAATGTTCCTCGGAAGTGAACGGTTCCGCTCTTTACGACAATGGTGTAAACTATCTGGAATGAGCATTAGGCATCAAGAGCCTTGCCGAGTTTCTATTGTTGCCTTCCTGAGTTAGAGGTTGAAACAATTAGGCAATGCTGGAACCTTGGCTGTTGAAAATCGGCACTAAGCGCGATTTGATGAGCGCACTTTGTTTGCCAGCTGAACCATTGTGCCTTGCAGCCCCTTTATTATTCAATCTCAAAGGAAACATGATTGATGACATTTTGATTCATTCAAGAATGGGATTTATCCCACACTCACACATCATTAGAAATTAATAAGACTGCGTAACCACTGAATCATTCATACTCTATTCGCACACTAATTATAAAATCTTTTACTTTAATTGCGACGTTATTTCTCCCAATTATAAAAATACAATTCAGAAGTCGTAATAATACTCTTGAGAATTTCAGTCGAGACAGTTAGTTAACTAAATAATTCTAAACTCCGCTGTGATCAGCCGCTGACTTGGTCATGCACTTGAGACAATATAAAGTGAGTGTAACAAAAGACTTGCAAAAAGCTTGTTATACTAACGCAATCTATTCATTCCGCCAGATTGGGATACAAGAAAGACAAAACAAAGTGAGACTTCGACGCTAAAACTCCGTTGGTTTTGGTCCAATTGGTCGCGGCCGTCGAATTTCACGGTGCTGTCGAATATTAATTTCTGTACAACGAATCTGGGTCGAAATGCTTACAGTAAATGTAATTATTAGTAAGCAATGTTATGCTTATGAAGGCAATAATTGGTCTGCATTACAATTGCAAATGTATCGACGAAATAAATTGTACCGATGTTTGCAGAACTCCGCAGCTGCACGTGTTGCCCATTTAAATGCATTTTCCCTAGCCTTCGAATGGCTGGCCAGTTGAAAGTCTTGCAGTTTATATCGGAAAATTCTCTATTGAGTTTAGCTCGTCTCGTCTTAACCTAGGTAGGTACTCGTTATTTCTGTAAATGTACGAATTTATTGTCACGTTAACTAATTTTATAGAGCAGACGCTTGGCTTCCCTGTACAGACGATGAGCACTGGATCGCCACGGACCTAGCAGTGCCTGATCCCAAAAGGTTAAAACTGCTAGATTTAACCTAGACTTAACCTTAACTAGATTTAAGTTAAACTAACACTACTTACCCTCTTTATTTCATAATTTTCAATTCATTCTGTGCACACATGTTTAGAGTTGCGGTTTAGATTAATCTATGGAATATTATCTGTGCCTGAATATGACTGTAACTTGTTTTGTGAGCCTTAAATAAATAAATAAATAAATTTGAAAAAAAACCTTGAAAAATGGTACAACTTTTATCATGTGTGTTTCAACGTCAACTAGTTAGACATTGAATGATGTTTTTCAATCTGGTTTTAACTAATCAATCGATTTTGCACCAAATTAATGCATTTTAGGCGTAACGTCTTTTTGCATTGAGTAGGTCATTGTCAAGCAAAACGTGCAACCGATTTTATTTGCTGTGAAATTGCCCGTAAAAGTTATTTGATTGTTTTGCAACTAAGCCAATAGTTCTTGAATCGCCTTGCATAAGTTTTTTTTTCGTTTTGCAACGAAACCAACTTAAGTTTTCTTCGAGTCTTGCATCTCTTTATTCTAAGTTTAATGTTCTAACCCTACGTTAAGTAATTTATATTACTTTTTACAAGTAATTATCTAAAAATTTATGCAATTTCTTGAATGTGGGTTTAAGTTAGGTATTTATTAGTTGTTGAATGTTAATGTGAGATCGTGTTGGATATTCGTTATTGTTACAGTAATTTTATGCAAGTACCATTATTCCTGCCTGCGGTAATTTACAATCAATGGCGGCATACCCACGATGATTGCTATGATACCCAATTAATTGCTTTATGATAATTAAAGGTTTATGATTTATTTTCCTTTCACACCTATTAGGACCTTGTTGAACCATAATAAATAGGCTGCATAAATAAATACTTTTAGGCATCAAAGATCCTTCAAATTATTTCAAGTTTATCCCTATAAATTCCCTGCTGCTGCTGCGTGCTAAGTATGCTAATAGATAGCGCGTCAAATAGATAATGTAATGTTAGACCCTCGCGGGATTTGAACCCACGCCTATTGTTTTGGAACGCAAACCACATGACCAGAGAGTTTCCTAGTTTACTGCTCATGTATTATAAATTATTCATTAATTAATTAAGTCATGAAATTTTCATCTCACCGTATTTTTGAGTTCTCCTCACATCCCCTGCAGGGCCAGCTGTTGCGGCAGAAATCATTAGAAACATGAGGGCAATCCTTGCACTCGCACCCATTTTGATAAAGTCACCGTGTTTTGTTTATAAAAAGTTTTAATTGTGATTTTTTAATTCACGAATAATAGACGCAACTATTTCCCGCGTAGTCCGGTAACATTTGCGCCGCGTGCGTCCGCGCCCGCGAGCTGTGAGCGACTGAGCCCGCCGCTTGCACTTTCTATGGGCTTTATGCGCGCGCGCAGCGTACCGTCTGCTGCACCCGCACTGCGCACGCACGCCGTGACCTATTGTAATCGTGATTTTCGAAAACTTAGGTTTGGGTCGGTGTTAGATTGGAGGTTTCCATGGTTTTAGGATAAGCATGAGATCTTCGGGACGTGATAGGCGTTCTTTCAGCACGACTGCCGCCAGTGACAATGGCCACAATGCGTTGTTTTACGATAATTTATGACAATTTCAAATATTATTACTAGATTAATGACAAAAATAAAAAATATTTACGTAGGTACTAGAAGAAAGGTCATATTATTTAAAATCACATTTTCAGCCCGTTAACTGCAAAGTAGAAAATAAAGCGGTTGCGTAGGATTTTAAAAATCTTTGCCCCCTTTTACAGGCACTGAACAGTCATTGTTGTGTCAGTCATCGAATGGCATTAAGCTCGCCTTTTTGTACGGAACATTGTTGTGTGTGCAATAAAGTCTTTAAATAAATAAATAAAAATAAATTGTTTGCACTTTTTATGAGCTTTAAGCGCACGCGCAGCGTAAGTAGGTACCTACCGTCTGCTGCACCCGCACTGCGCGCGCACACGCTGCGCCGTGACCTATTGTAATCGTGATTTTCGTGTTAAAGATTTTAGCTATTTTAGGATAAGCTTGAGATATTTTCGGGATGGTGATTAACTCATTCTTTCAGTGCCAACAGCCACTTTATGGAAATAACGGATTTTGAGTATCTGAAGTAATTCAAACTTTCGCATTCAAATATTTTCCGTGCCTAAAAGACAAATAATGCAAAAAAGCTATTTTCAGTCCTCAGATCATTCCCTTCTATGATCTGAGTTTCAGTCACATTCCGCTATCCGTTCACATAACACACCTGAAAATTTCCGGCTTTCATTTGATTTTTTCTGCCGAATAATTTTTCATAAAAGTTATTGAATGCAACTCATACTGATATTCACGTAGCAACGCTACTTTAATTAGGATAGAATAGAATACCTTTATTCAGCATTTAACATTTAGGTGCATACATGTACAGAGGTTAACATTATTGAACCATGCTGAAAAGGCGCTCGCTCAGCGAAAATCGTAACATGACACAGGTCGTCAAGTCACGAAGCTGGTTTTCAGCGGGTACCAACGCACAATTAACGGGGGTTAAGTATTTATTGTTTTAATTAGGTATATGAATTTTCCCATAGGCACTTGTTTGAATTTGGGAAAATCAAATACAAATACAAAATCATTTATTGTGAATCATAGGTAAAATCGTGTCAAATATGTAGATATTCTCATGTAGGTAGATGCCACTTGAACACGTCTATGTACTATAATCCCTTGAATGAAATAGCACTAAAGGGCTTTACATCACGTGCCTGACCCACAGGTCGCTTGGAGTCGGCGATGCTACGATTTCCTCTTCCACGTAGTCGGCTGAAGCAAGTGAAAATGTTTTACATGTACGTTTTATTGCATAAATTAATTATACTTAGGCAGCAAACTATGAATAACTGAACTATAAATATGAATTAATCACTAATAAATGTATTTAATATTAACTAATTAGGTAATAAAGTTATTTTTATTTCTAATGTTTAATGAAAACGCGCGCGAAAAGCGGACCTTACAACACTACACTGTCGTCGGAAACAGCTTACCGGAGCGTGAAGTATGAAGGCCGGACCATCAGACCGATTGTTCCGAATGCTAATCCTGTGTGGATCATGCCGACAATATTTACTTACGTTCTCAAACAATAACCACATTGTACGAAATTAATAACGGTTTCATCTTTTTTGGGTCTTTGAAAGGCCCATTGGTGTGATCAGTGTGCCTACCATGAGTTTACGTTAGGTGTGCTCGCTAGCGACTGCGTAAAAAAATGACATTTAAATGTATGACATATTGTGCAGCGCCCCTAGCGGCTACTTTCAAGAAATAAAATCTTCATAGAATTTTTTGACGTATTCGCTAGCGAGCTCACCTAACGTAAACTCATGGTAGGCACACAGGAACAGTTTAGGAGGCGTAGCCTAGCCACCCCACCCTAGCCTACGGGCGGCAAAACTGTAAATCCGCCACTAGGCGTAGGTAGACAAGGGACGCCGAATTGCCGTACACCAATGATATTAAATATCATTGCCGTACACTGAAAAATTAAATTACTCTGTTATGTAGAGTTTGTAACTTTATTATTGGCTACGGTCGGTACTGGATTTAAATAACTGAAATTAATGTCTCATACATTAATTTAAGTAAATACTGCACTATTAGGTAAAGAATGCACTATTAAGTAACTAACATCTGTTATACTCTAACACTGCAAACGCCCATGTAGCGAAAAAACAGCTCAAAATGTGTTGTTCTGATAGCAAAATACGTGTTGCACTCGCCACGATGTGTTTTGAAATTAATTTAATACACTTTAACATCAATAATTAATCAGTATTCGTCGGGGTTTGACTGTGTTTCAGTTTCATTAGAGATATTGTAGCACTCTCTCTACTGGGACACGCAGACTTCTTGATAGTTTGATGAAATGTTGTATCATAGTACATTTTTATGCCTAACAAAACTTTCAATAGAAAAACAAAACTGCAGCACTGAACATGACGCATCCCTTTCCCGCCAAGACAATGTGGACGTTTTAAGCTGTCACAACAAAAAAAAGTTTTACGTTGTCTAGGTGCTGCCATCTAGGTTCATCATTAGTAACTATTAATTACACTTCGTATCACTAGATGGCGCTGTATCCAGAGCCATCTAGTGGTGAGTAGAAAATCTAAATACTATTGTTATACCTTTTAGTTTTAAATACTACTAAGAGATGTCGTTAAATCCAATAAAAATTATATTACTTGACTTGAATTATAGAGGGCGCTAGTATCAAGAAGTAGCAAAAAAGATTTTAATGCCATCTAGTGGCGAGTAGAAGAACTAAATACTAAATAGCATGCAAGTTGCTTTTAAATACTAATAACAGATGTCGTTAAACCATATAAAAATATATTACTTGACTTGAATATAGAGGGCGCTAGTATAAAGAAGTAGCAAAAAAGATTTTAATGTCATCTATAGCGAGTAGAAAAATTATTAAACATAATCACGTAAAAGCATCCAAACACGCTGTTTTTATTTTTTATGACAAGGGCGCCACTATAGATAGAAGTCGGTCAAAAAGTAATAGCAGGTAGGCTCAGATCGAGCAGGTAGGTAAGCACAGCTTTATGTATAATTTGAACATATAAGTACCGTGTCTCTTACGCAATTAATATAATTATGATTTCTATTCTAAAAAAATAGTAATGAGTAAATTTTTATTGCGAATTATTTTTATCAAGATACCTACTTTCTTTACCTATAAAAAGAAGAATAGGCTATGTCATAAAAACTACTGAACTGATATTGATAAAAATATTTGTTTAACCTTAACTTGTTTGAAATGTAGATGAATAAAAATTATAAAACAATATTTTCGTAATAAATTAAAAAATATTAAGTAAGTCTACTTAGATTTATTTTTAAAAAATCGGTAAAAACTCAATAATAAAATAGACTAAACCTACGCTAATAATAATATGGGATCGGTCTCATCCCTGAACCAAACAATTTAAGGCTAAAGTTAAAGTCGTTAAAATTGATATTTTTAAGGTCGTTTTTTTAAATAAATAAATTGAAATCTAAGTAGGTAACTATTTTTGTAACTAATCTTGTTTTAACTTTGTACGCGATTAGCACCAACCTGCGATTTTACTTATCGGATCTTATTTCGGAATTAAATATCATATTTGATAGTAAATAATATCAATTAAGAGGCATAGTCTGGAGATGAAACGGATAGTTGTTTGCCCGGATACCGGATATTGTCTCGTTGCATGTCGTGAAGAGTTTAGCGCCGCACAGGTGCTTCGAACACGATCAGTGGGTCTATTAGTAGACTAGACTAGTCACATTTTTCGAAAATCGAATCAGTCCGAATAGAATGTCAGACTTTGCCACTTGTCTAGGGGGCAGATCGATTCGGGCGATTTCGGTTGCCATCGTGAGTGTGTGATTGAATAGCTAAAATTAAATTAGTTTACTTGCTGCATAATCTGACTAAACTGCATCTTGACATCAGAGGGCTGAGTGTGAGTTTACATCAATCAAATGCGCTCACTAGTGAGCGCGTTTAAAAAATGAATGAAAATTTTAGTTTTTGAAAGTTTCCCGCTAGGGGCGCTGTACAATCCGTCATACATTTAATGTCATTTTTTGACGCTCTCACTAGCGAGCGCGTTTGAAAAAACTCACACTCAGCCCTCAGACCATCAGTGATCAAAGTGAAATCGCCTATTTTATTTGGCAATATTTCGACTTTACAGATATTTACTATTTATGTATTCGTCATTAGAGTGAATAGCCTAGAAAAAGAAATTAGTTTTTTTAAAGGTATGACTTTCTGTAACTTTTTGGACTTTAAATAAAGTCCGTCATTAATTTATGCCATTTTATTGATGTTTACCTCAAAGATTTAATGTATTTCATTTTATTAATAGGAAATTGTCGTAGTTTTTTAATATCCGGTATCCGGCCGGATAGTGAGTTACTATCCGGTATCCGGCCGGATAGTAAATTTAGGCCGGATATCCGGCTTACCGGATAGTTACCGGATATCCGTTTCATCTCTAATCTAAACTATCTGATTGACGTTAATTAAAGATTAATTAAAATATTTTGAAATTTTTGATTTTATTGATAAGGCCTAGATTATGAATACATAACTTCCTATGGTAAATAGACGTTTGGTGTGTATTATTGTTTCTTTTATATCATTTGATTAGTAATTCTCTTAATTATAATATTTATTTAGTGCTAGGGCCCATAAATTAAAATTAAATAAGTTTATGATAGAGATCGAGTGATTGAAACAAAACAAATGCATTATAAATAATCCAATCATTTATTTCATGTTTACATAATGTAATACGTTATCTGTCCAATGTTAAATGAAAACTCTGCATTCAATTATGCATTATATTTACACAGTAAAGGTAATATTCACATGGTATCAGTTCATTGTTTACAACCTAACAAACTATCTAACGGCAATATTTTACAGTACATAGTTGATTTAAAATTACATCAAATATACTTTATCATCTATTGCCAAATATTTTATATCTTCATAGTTGTAACTTCAAACCAACTCTGCATAATTTAAGTTAAATATAGATCATAAATTAATTATGCAACTTAAATTAATTTAAAAGTCTTTCGTGGCGAAAATGGCATAACAATTTGCCTCACAATAACACTATACGAGATATACATTAGTAGGAGATTGAATAGAAATAACAGTTTCTATGCTTTGCATAAAAGTATTATTCATGATTTACAACAATCGGAAATGGAAAATAAATAAGAGATTATAAAATCAAGCGACAAGACGAGAAAGAGCATCGCGCATAAGTACAGTTGGACTTACATCGACTTAAATGCTAATCAATAAATTAATAATTAACGACTACACAATACTAAATATCACAGAGAAAGTACCCAATACTTAATCAACAAATCGTATCGTCAAACATTCAAATTATGCCTAACATCTCATGTAAGAGAGCATAATTTTAAATAAATAAGTACTGAAGCGGCAACAATGAGTTCAATAAATACAAATTAAGTCNGTTAAGTTGCAGAATCTATATTCCGCGTTAAAGCAAGTTAACTTATGGGCTGCTCGGCTGCTTCTTGCGTTTATTTCTTTTGCGCTTGTTTCTTTTTTCTCTAAGGTTGTTCTCGTACTGCACACATTTGTGCAGCGCTACTTTTCTGTTCTTGCCTGTTTTCCTGAATTTGGAGCAGTTGAACTCTAGATGCCAGTTATCTAATAAGTTTCCATACGCTCTGAGGAGGATGTCGTCATTTTTTAGGTATCTGGCTGCGTCTACTTTAGGTTTTATTGTGTCTAGCTTCATTTTGGCCAGGTTGATTTTGGGGGCAGGCATTTTTACGCTGATCATGGCGTCCTTGATATCTTCTATCGCGCTGTAGAGGTCGTCGGTCGTCTTGGTGAAGATGACCTGCCTCTTGACGTTGTAGCTGGTGATTTGTGTGTCGGGGGATACGACTTCCACGACTTTGAAGCGCTTGAACAGCTCGTGGTACTCCAAAAGAGATTTGTAGAGCTTTCGGATCAGAAAGACGAACTGTAACAAAAGAAAAAGGAGATAAGTTATTGCTGATCGTGTAATGAGAGGAAATACAATGTTATTTTTCAAATTGCTTATGCGTTATAGGTGAATAATTTTAACTACGCTTTAATGCTATACCTAGGTGTAACTTGTAACTTTAGTGCAACAAAAGACAATGTTAAGTCATTTCCACACATAACAGCTTTGTGAATGGCGACAATAACATAAATTTGCTAAAGCAGGCTCATGAAGGAATTAAGTTTCGGTGGCTTGCGACAGAGCGCGTATGAATTAAGTGCGGCGTATATTGTGAATACTTTAGTGTGCGTATTTGTGTCGAGGCTGCGTATTCTGTAAACATTATTAGGTAGTATCTATAGTTGGAATCGCTCTTAGCCGGATCAATGCGAGCTTCTGTCGCAGGCTTTCGTGTCACTAAGACGAATTGTCAGGACTTAAGGGCATTTGAATTTAGACATTATTGTGTAGGCTAAACATTTATCGCTCCGTTGAGTTCTCGTAACTGCATTCGTTGACGAATTCTCCAATAATGTCAAGTCAAATGCTGGTTCATGTAAAGCCTTAATAACGTAAGTATAAAGGTCATATTGTCTTAAAACGTAAATAATACTTGGTCGTGTTTGTTTGCAAAGGTTACATTGTTAATACATAACGTAATCAAACGTACCTATTAATATTACATTCGCGTTGTAATGACAATAAACATAGTTTTGTAATTGAAACTCATTTGTCTGGAAGATATTACGGAAACAATTATTTTAATTGTAAATTATTGACTATCAAAATTATCAGCATTAGAGCTTTGATCATGAGTTTCTATTTACATATATTATGCCGCAGGTTTAAGCGCCACTATTATGCAAAAGATTGTCTCATAACTTGCTAATTAATAAATAGCAATTTTCAGTTAATGCTTACGTATTTTCGCACCTCGCCGCGAGTCTAGTTATTTACATGAGCAGTAATAAATCTGTGTTGTTTATTTGTGATTTAAAACGACTTTATGTAAGTTTATTTATAGTTTGCGACATGTGTTACTATTTCCTGAGTTTCGAGTAGATTTCCATTGAGTTCCTGATTTATTTCAGGATAAACAGTAAATTAAGAATTATAATAAATGACAAATAGACGTAAAGAAAGACGTCCTAGGACAATACAAATAGTCGATCAACAATGACAGAGCTGACGGGCCGGTATGCAGGCGGCCGGTTTGCCTCGATCCGAGTAACCGATCGCGCATTATTCTTCTAAAAATGCGCGAGCGCTTATGCAAGCGAAGTGAGGAAAATTTACAATTTGTTCACGTGTTACTTGACTACTGTGGTACAGAGTTCAATCTAAGAACAGTAGCATCTTATGTCGTAGTAATAGATGTTATTTGGCATCAAAATCTCTAATGTGCTCTTGACTAAACGTATTTTTGATGAATTATATCCATAAAAGGGGTTAAAGTACAACAAAAGCTTTATGTTTGTTTTGGACTTAGGATCACTACACCGAAATGAAATAACGTCATGAGTTCGCGGTTTGAATGTGCTTTATTTTGACGGCTGTTGCGGTCGCAGGTTCGTATCCCGCTGGGGGCAAATTTTTGTGTGATGAGGAATTAATGCTGTGTTAATACTTATTATTGGATCTATTGTGCTTAGTTTAATGTGATTTAGAGAAAAAATAGTGTTCTAAATTGTCAGATCCTTCTGTTTTGTAGAGTCATAACAAGTAGGTATTACATTTATCTCCGTTAGCATACAATGCATTCACTGTCAATATTGTTTACAAACTGACAGTGAAAAATAAAATATTTGAAAGTCAATTTATTACTGACCGACCTGATTTCTGAAAACAAGCCGTTTGTCTAAGACTTGACTGATATCTAAAACATGAAAATGATCTGGAAAATGTTGTTCTTCCGATTGTTTTTCTAAACACGAATGGTTTTGCGCAAATACAATAACTACTTAGAATTGATCTTTGAATCACTTCTGCAAATAAGTTGGCGCTTCGAAGTGATATTGATTAATAAACTATGGTGTTAAGTGCGTCTTTAGTATTGTTGTTGCTAATGATAGTGTTTATAGGTAGTTTCCTAATAATAAAGATATAAATTTATGTGACTTTAAGCGACACTCTTAATTTTTATTTTATTTTAGAGTTGTTTGTATATTGGTATAATTGGTTTCATTCATACACAATATGTTTTAAGTCGTCCGATTTTCTTTTGTTTTCTTTTCGCATTTCAATTGACATGTCCGATTGTTTTTGTCTTTTGCACGAATTTAAATTATTAAAGAAAGTTAAATTAAAAACTGCTTGATTGGTAACCTCAACCTCTGACTAAACATTTCAACTGCTAACCGTTCAGCCGAATGAACTCATCTCATTAAGTGGCCCACTCACCGTTCCGGGAACGCGGAGCCAGCGATCAAGTACTAGGTATTTGTTTACGGAGTCGCATGACACGATCGGCGTCCCGTGGACTTCCTCTATAGACTTCATTAATTAACGAAATGATTAATAACAATGCCGCAGACGGAATTAAATGTTTAGGTTTGAATGACATCCGCTATTATGATAACTAGAGCTAAGTTTAAAATTTTTCGTTGTTCATTCAACAATATTATCAACTGTAAAATATTTAAATAATGAAGCTTTTAGAAGAAAAATTTCAAAATTATCAGAATGATTTACATTAGTCCAAAAATGCATTCTAAATCTAAGTCCATAAACCGATAATCTAATAATGATCTCAAACATTTCACGGCTCATAAACCGATTAACGCGTCGCTTTTCCGCGGCATTGTGCGCGCGCGCAACCAATAAAGCGGCGGGCAAATATGGCGGACTAAGCTGAAAACGCAGCCACAATGCGCCTCGCAGGCTTAACCCGCGAAACGTGTCGCGGACAAACGGCCCAAGATCGTAAGTTCACATTCGTCTCACTCGGACAAATAATGTGTTTTTAACATTTCGTGCTGTTTTGTTAAATCGTAAATACTGTACAAACACTAGCGCGAGCGCTCGCCGTGAAAGCACTGCGTGGTGGAATGTCCCCGCCCTTTATTTGTGCTGAAATATTATTAAACGTGGCCGGCTAAGGGTTTTAGAATTCTCTCTAAGCTCTTAGAAAATTGCTTTTAAGTTTACATTATGAAACAAAGCTTAAAAGAAAAACTAATTCAGCGCCACAGTTCACACTTCAAACCTTTTGTCGAACCCTATTTTCATCTCATTAGAGCATTGTTTAGTTTTTAAATCGTTCTCGTCAAATAAAGCTTAAGATCACTTGAATTCTCTAACGCTTTCCTTTGCCCAATGTCAAATATTTGAATTTCTTAAGTGGCCGTGCATTGACGAACTGTGGAGCCGTACTGAGTGTTCAATATTCATAGTTTGGAATACTGGTCGACTCTACACTGTTGTGTTAGAAAATAATTTTGTCAATGGTTCGCCGCGCGTCTGGACACCGGACACTGGCACACACTTATTGTCTCGCATTAAGTTTTGTGTACTAATTAGTGGGTGTCCGATATGAATACATAATAGAAAGTCATAACCGCGGTCCAGATGTGTGTTCGGTAAATACCGAGCCTCGGTCCGTTAAGTGCTTTAAATATTTTTATGAGCCGAGGTGAGAAACAATCAAATAATCAAGTCTGACTGTTATTACTGGTTGCCGATAATGCGTTTGTCTGTCATTTGCTAATTGGTGTCTGTGCGATCGCGTGCGCGGGCGCCGAAATCGGACGATGTCAATCTATGCAAATACTTGAGCGTTTAATTGGTTGGCTGGCCAGCGGCCGGTTAACGCCGTTATTAATGGACTGTCTGCTGGGGCTTTATGGTATTTTGTGCTTTGTTTTACAATCGACGATAGGGAATTAACGACAGTATTGACATTTAAATTAAATTTACAATTTCAGTAAATTAAACAGTAAAGCCGACAATTTAAGCGACACGTTTTTGTAAAGACTTGACATTTATCAAAAAGGCAATAAAATCGCTACAAGTACCGCAATGGAGTGACTCAAACTGTGCATTGAGGGATCGAAGCTGAGTTAATCTGTGCCAATTTTTAAAGGCAACGGCTTTAAAATTGAAGGGCCTGTGCCTAGTTATTGCCCTTAAGTACAATGTGAAGTAAATAAACGCGGTACAAAGGCGGCTCGGGTGTAATTTGGCCCGACGAAGCTCATTTAAGCCGCGGCCTGCTAATGCACGCATCCTTTGTCTCGGATAAAGTTGAGAATAAAAATTAAAAATGCGCGAATATTGAACGGGAAGAGTTGATGAGCCCCGCCCCCGAGTGATGGAGCACGGCAATTATGCCGTCAGATTTGTACACCGAACGCTTACGCCTCATTGTAATCGCATTGCATCACTATAATCAGTGACAAGAATTTTTTTATCAAATGATGTCATATTACCAGCACTGTATCTACAAACTTGCTGGTGGTTATTAGCACTAAAGTTACAAGAATTGCCTGCTTCTATTTTTGTTTGAGATATTTAAAAAATAAATACTTACAATGCGTTTCGATTTCGCCGCCTCATTTTTGTGTGAGATTCTGTAGTTGTGGAAGTGGATATCCACGAAGTTAGTCTTGGGCAGCCACGTCGGCATCCCGGAGCCATAATCTCCAGATTCCTTCAGCTCCTTCCGCCTCTCGTCAAAGTTGTCTTTCGTGTACGCCACTTTATTCTCTATCTTTATTCGCGCTCTCTCGTACGGGTCCGTCTGTCTTCTTAAACTCCCGAGGGTATCTTTGGTTGTGTGGGTCCCGTTCTTCTGGCCTTGATGCCGCCTCTTGTGGTCCTTCAGCAGAGCCTCTGTCCGCGACACGCTGGAGTCTTTGGTTGGTTTCATGTTGTCGTGCAGGCCTCTTTGTCTCTTGTGCTCTATGGAAGCTGCCTCTGCTGGCCTCAGGCACATCGCTACGATTATCACTACCGTTACAGCTACCAATAGCTTTTTGGGAAAATCTGGAACAAGAAAACGTATTGTTAGCACTCTGAATGAAAGTGAACTGATTGTTTTATCATTAATGCGATACGGTTAATTCCTTATCGATTTGTATTTAGTATCAATAAAATTAAATAATTACTCATATCGTATATCAAGTGTCTGTGTCATTACGTATCTATTTCCGATTTGTAGGCTATCGTGATATAAGGTGTAAGCGGAATGGTACTCTAAATATATGTATAGGAGTAATGAAAGTCGAATTACCCTAATATTGCATGATAATACAGCAGTGTTTCATAATGATTAGAGTTACTTATTTAAAAATTTTGCACAGTTAAGTAATAATTTATCTTCTCTCTAAGTACATGCCGACAAACGAAAACTATTCATTAAGCCTAGTTAAGCTCGCGAGGATGGGAGCCCGTGATCTTATGAGTAGTATAAACTTGATTGCACAATAATTGCACGTTTGGATGGTATACTTGATCATATTTAATCTTTCATTGACTATTAGCGATAAGCGAGTCTTGCGTACCTTGCGTAGGGTCCACAAATCTCGGCAGTGCTATTAAATTAAAATAATGAAAATCTCGTTACGAAACCAGTGTTGGCTCAAAAACGTGCATTCATATTAAGCGGGCGGGAGTAGCGAGGAGTCACATAAAAAATAATAAGCTCCATGATTATCGTAAACGCGGCGCTTCGTACTCAACCGCATGAGTTCTTGCGCGATCTCCATCTCGGGGGCTTTCTCGGCGCCCATTAGCCTTCGCTGGGACGCACGTGATTTTTTTAATCAATTTCGGTCAGAGCACTCTCATGGGACAACGTTTGGTACCGCAATCGATACTAAACGCCACTGCATAAATAATGTTCGATTCATAAAGGGCGTTCTCGGTGGAGACTTCTCGATAAATTGATTCGAGCTCGCGTCGGAGTTGTTTTGTTGTAAAGTAATTTGATGTCAGCGCCGTCAGTCAGCGGCGCATGCGCGTCGAGCCGGCGTAAAAAGCCTAGCGACGACGTCATTATGCACATTTTCTAGTAGACTATTACAGGTAGCCCGAGTGATTTAATGACATGTGGACAGCGACTAGTTTCTATAGTTTGTTCTCCGAAAGGCAGTTTCATATGTGCGCTGCGTGACGCGCAGTGCACCGTTTGCGCAAAAATCGCATGTCTCCTCATTCGATTTAACGTTTCTCTGTTATTGAAGGTTTTGATGTTTTGCGCCGCCGCCATAAAACATATTTTATGTGCCAAACGGAGACGTGCAATTCTGCAGCGACGTTTTCAAACTTTAAAAGGAGGAGAAACAGCGCCAACTTTGAAACGCCTTTTGTCCGCCTCAAGTGCTAAAACGTAGAAAGTTACCCTTTTCATGCCGTATTTACAATTTTTATGTGTCAATAGTCGCCAATGGTAGGCTATAAAGTTTTAATAGAGCTCAATATTGAGCAAGTCACGGCCTCAAACGTGCGCCAATAAAGCCTCACTTTGGTATCAGTTTTGGAGGAACTCAAACACTTAACCCGTGGCAATATCTTAAGTTATTCGCTATTTCTCGGTACTTCTTGGCATTTGTGTGTTTGCCGGTGTTATAGGCGAATGGTATTTCGATGAACTGTTTGTAACGCGTGTTATCGTTTGAACTAATAGTGAAAATTTAACACGTTCGTATGTTACGTCAGACGAGGATAAACCGAGGTAAATGGTCAGTGAATCATTAGGTCAATCAGAGTCGTTGACAATATAACGTATGCTAAATAGATGCGATGCTGTGACGTCCAAACATATGAGCGAGGCTCGCCTACTGCGGATCAGCCGAGGTTTTTGTGGGAACTTTTTTAGGCTGTGCCAGCTATAAGCGTTTTGCAGATTAAAGTATCAACGGATCGAGATCAAACAATGCTAACGCGTGTAATTGTTACCGCGAAAAATGACGGGCATGAAGTGATTTACCGTCATGGGGTTTTCCCAAAGATTTATCGCATAGTGGAAAGCTTATAGGACTGTAACGACTGTTTTTAAAATCATTATATACTCATACAAAATATTTTCGCATTAGCCACTCAAAAATACTGAAATCAGGTAGAAGCAGTTTTTCCTAACTGTTTAAATTATATTCAATAAATACTAAGTATAGCTAATATCATTCTCAAATTTTCTCAATATTTGATTAAGTATGTAAATCTATACCACAGCAAAATTTTCGAGATTGAATTAAATTATGTCCAAAATAAGTAGCGCGCATCGGTTGCCTCAAAAAAGTTAAAGTTAGTGAGTATCGCATGACATCGGGCGGGTTCCAGCGAAATATGCTTTGATCGATTGCCGACACTCGAATGTTGTTCATTCCCACACGATTCGCTGTCTAGGCGGTACGAGATTTCTCGTTTGGTGCCTCCAAAAATGATCATCAATCGAGTTAGGACTCGGCTTGCAGAATTACAATGACTGATGCGGTTTCATGTGTAACTTACCACGGAGAAAGGGAAGCACTTAAGTCCCGATGCTATCAAGATTTCTCTGTTTATGGGTCTCGCGTTATGCATTGCAATGAGACGTATTTTATATTTTCATGAGGCCTTACGGTCATGTGCAAACGTCACGTTTTACGATTTTAATTTAATTTAATTAGAATTTAATACCAAGCCTCTCAAGTTTGCCCACCGGCGAGTGAAATAAGCAATGATTAAGTTTCGCATGGAATATTCAAAATGATTGCAAAATTTTCTAATCATGAAAAGTATTTAAAAATATTATGTAAAAAACACGAATACCCACCGTTGGTCAACTGTTTAATGTCAACGCGTATTCCTGAACGAAAGCGGTCTCTCATTTGTCTACGAAGCAACAAAAAACATAAACAAACATCACACACCAGTTAAAAAGACATCCATGAACAACGCATTGATGTTCCTTCGGGCAAGTCCATGTTCCGAACGCGGTTTTTTTGTTCACTGAAAACTGGCCACTCGCACTTTTGGAGGATTAAAAAAATTTTTTGTAATTGGAATCACTGTTAGTGTTTACGTTCGTTCGTGTGTCACCGGTGCGCGTGCGAGGCCGGCGCGCGGGCTGGCTCCGATCGTTGAATGGGCGCCGAAATGCTGCACGGTACATGAAATAGCCGGTCAAACACTATGCGAAAACCCTTACCCGCGCCACGCAGCGAACTCCGGCCCTCTCGGAGACTCCCCAAGCGTTTGTTTTTTGGTACTGATGCGTTGATGTTTAATATACTGCACTAGTACGTTTTTAATTTTGACTAAAAAAGTTGTTGCTAAAACTAGGAAAATGCTTTCCTACTTATAGGAACATTTTTATGCGATTTTCACTTTACAAATTAAAGAATAATTTTTAATGTATTATATAATTTAATGTATGATCATGTTGTTTGTAATATAATTATGTATTAAAAAGAATACTGAGTCATTTGTAAAACAATAAAAACTTTTTATTATGTTACATGTTAATTACATAGTTACTAAGATTTTCGTTATTTAAATAAACTTATGTACAGACAACCTTAATTATTGTATGTATGTAAAATATAGATGTACGTGTATGATGAGATGTATTACGTTTCGATTGAGTAATATATTTCCTGACTAATAATAAAANTATTATAATACTTTGCAGGAATGTCGCAATGGAGATGAATGAGGACAAAATTAAACTGATGTAAAATTATATTAATAAATATGATTGAATAGGAATGTACGTTTTGCGTATGTTAAAAGTGACACCTTATTTAGGTGTAGACTGGTAGCCTACCTGCTTATTACTATTACAGATCTATTTTTGCTTCGGAAATTTACATCAGCTGTTCCATAACACTAAATTTCCACACTACATAATTCAATTCTGGCGCGCCTGTAAACTTGTAAGAAAACATCACTTAAATGCAAATTTATTTAAAGAATATTCGTCTCTACACTCGTCGCTGTTCTCGTGCAAGTGTACATTTATTCGGTTAGACCTGCGGTGATTCATCGATGAGTCTATCCTAAACTTTTATCGGCGTATCGAGTCGCAGACGCGTGTTCGATACGGCGCGCCGATTCGCGATCGAGTTTGTAACAAGTTGAGACTAAATCGCAACCTGATTACGATTACGATTGACGTATTTACAAATTATTATGTTAAACGTAGCCAAATATTACAGCTGATGTGTTAGAACTGATAATTTCGCAATATTGTGAAAAATAACATAATAGTTGATGCCATTATCAATGTTTATCATTTAAATAGTTACAATTCTCTGTGAAATTCTTTACTTTGTAACAAAAGGCAGGAATTTTATTTAAAATTGTAGAGTTAATTTAGTAAAAAGAAAACTTTTTTGCTCCCCATTTATAAGAGAAAGTCATTTAACAAACATAACTAATCATTAGGTACTAATCATTATTAACGACGTAGTATCAAAAAGCGAAACGCACGCGCGAATTAATTTGTGTAAACAAAAAAGTGTCACCGAAGTAGGTAAGTGGGTACTTTCAATTTCTCTCGCCGTCGGCACACGAACTTCAAATACATCGCGAAAAATGGAAGAACTCAACACGTGCGAATTGGAAGGAAAGCCTTAACGAGGCCTGGGAAGAATACTGGACATGTTGTCGCATGGTTTATGGTTCATTCATACTGGACTTGAATTTATTTCTACAAAATAACAAAGATTTAGGAAAATAACGACGTGAAACTAAGGCTTTATAAAAGTAAATCAATGCCTCTGTAATATTAGGTAGCATATCCAAAAAAGTAACCTTAATTGTACCAAAATTCGAGACATTGTGTCACGTAATAACGACATACCTAAACGTAACCGCTTATCTGATCGGTGTAGATGCACCTTAAGCTCGCAGGCCACACCAAAAAGCCGAGAATCACACACGTTACTTTGTCCACTGAAAGGAACGGGTTTCGTGCCAGATTTATCTCGTATGTCGTTTACTAAACATTTGGACTAGCAACTCGAGTATTTACATTGACACGTTTTTTGTCGGCTAACAAGCCGGCCCATTGTGTTCGGATGTTTATTGATACTGTCAATAGAGGATTATTACGTCTATGATTAATACTTCCCGAATATCGGAGCTTTGTTTTGTCTATGGTAAATGCCTCGGAAATGAGAACGTAGGAGGTCCGTACGATTAATACACTTACTTACATTTTTTACTCGATAATGTCAATGCGAATCCGTTTATCTTGTGATTATGGTTTTTTATCTTATATTTGGCACAATTTTGAAAATGATGAATCAATACGATATCATATTAGCAATGTTTTCAAACATAAGTGTGTTTTATTGTTCTTTGTGTCAGTCACGCGATAAGTATACTTGCTTTCAGGGTTCCCTAATACAGACTGAAAATTTATAGTAAACTGAAAACTGTAATTTGTACAAGACTAGTATCATTAGGGCAGTTTAAATATCGCTATTTGCTTTTCTTACCCTTTTTAGCTACAAAGGAAGAGCATTTCAAAATTTAAATTTAGCTAATATTTTCTTTACAACCATTACCAATTTGGCAAATTAGTGTAATAATGTGTCATGCGGTCACAAGTAATTAGGTTACTAAATTAAATAACTTTGTAAGGCACATACGGACGCTAGTAGTCGCGATCAACTCGCTCTTTGCGCATCGTTTCTGCAAACAATATAATTAACGGCTATGCAGAACTCGGAACGAGCAATTAAGATACTTTTTTCATCCGAGGAGATTCCCATTGTGAATAGAATGTGATATAATAGCTTAGCTTTCATCGATGTTTTTGTGCGAAATTTTTCTAATGGTTTCCATAATAGGAGGCTTTTCCGCGGGTTGTCTCACCGGTGAGTCACGGATTTTCCCGAATTTTCCCGAGTGGGCGAAATGAAAACCTACAAAAGCGGTGTCAGATCACTCACTCGGCCATTATTACTCACGCTCGTAGAAAGTAAAGTAGATCCGGCGATTCGTCATTCAGAAGCGATGTGATTTGGAAGATCTTTGGTGTTAAATCCTGGTTATGGCGGTCAGTGATTTGTGTTTGTTTTTTAATGTTACCTAATGACCTGCTAATGTAATAGAAGTTCCACATACCACACCAATTTTTCCAAATGGAAAATCACGTAAGTGTATAAATGAAGTTGCTCTACAAATCGCATAATTTTCTTGTGTTCTGGAGAAAAGTGCTACTCATTTAATTTAAAATCGCCTTATTTTTCACATTACATTTTAATTTTTTTTAGATATCACAGCAAACTTTTACTGTGTAACATGTTAGCCCTTACAAGTCAGGTGTTGAAATTCCTCAACATAATTTCAGCGGCTAATTTAACTTTACCGTAAGCGAAGGCTTCCGCGACACTGCGGTGCGCTAGCGCCGAACGGCATTGTTCTGGAGCCGCAATGTAAATCAACGTGTACAGAGGCTTTTACTCATCACGGTAACCCCTTTAAAAGCTATAGAACCTCATTGTGCCATATGTAATGACCCACAGAACTTAGTGTTACGAGCTTATCTGTGGCGACTTAGATATTTATTTATTTATGAGCACGCGGCGATCCGCTGTCGTCACTCACCGGCGCGAATTTCAAATTAAGCACCTATTGTCTATTGTTTTTTTAAGTTCAAATACTTAATTCAACTTTTTTTAAAAGTGAAGCTTGACATTCTGAGTGTGATTTCCCGCCAAAAAAGAAAACTTTTCTTTTTCAGGTATAGTTTTCTTTTATTTTGTGAACTGGTATGGTTTAATATTTATTTGTCAGAATCCTCGCAATATTTTTATAAACTTAAATAAAATTAATTTTAATTGTGAAATTGATTGAATGAAAATTAATTTTAACTTTGAAACTGAAATGTTGGAAAATGTTTATTTACAGTAATTTCTTGTATGTAAATTAAAAGTTATGGTAATTGTAATCATTAGTGCATTTATTAAATGCTAATCAATGACACCTTATCGTAATTTCATTACTGAAAAATTTATACTTCAGGTGAAAATTATTATAATAAATATATTCGATATTTTTTAACGATGTATTAATGAATATAAATACTTACAGTGTAATCTGAGAGATTCAAATCCTTGTTTTGAGGAACATTGTTTACTGCAGGTGCACGTGTCAATCATTTTGTTTTTATTATCACAGAGTAAATATCTTTGGTATAAAAAAATGTCACACGATTTCACAGTTCAGTCACTGGCACATCACAATTTTCTTTTAAAAGGAATAAATTAAAAATTTGAAAACAGAACAGAAGTCGGCCGCGATAAAAAAAATATGCTACGCGGTGGCGACTTCAGGCGATCGGTTGTTACGATCTCAGGCCGGTTCGTTCGGTTCGCCGCTTATATGCCGTTGCCGGCGCTCCCGTATAAAGGGTGCAAAAAACTGATTGTTTGCATTAGAGGGCCCGCCATTACGTCACGGATGCGACGTCGCGCGCGCTAGTACGTAAACGCGCGCCTTCTTACGCAATCGCTTGTCCAAACAAATACATGTGTTCCAGTACCGGATCCTGAAGGTGTGTGAAAATCGCTCTGGACGCGCGTCGCGGTATCGCTGTTTAGTTTGATGTAAAGTGACCTTTTTAAATATCAGCAATAAGCTCACAATGTGAGCTGAGCTGCGGATATGGAACTAATTCATCAATATTGATTTCGACGGTCTTTTTTTCAGAAATATCTGAAATGCAGTGTGTTTTCAACTCAAATATATTAGTTAATTTATTAATGAGTTGACGATAAAATATTATTTTAAAAACTTACAGTTAGCATCACCAGAAGTTGTAGATTGCAAATTCCTCTTCTTCTTCGGATATTTAAATTTTGATTATCTCAACTGTTATCTGTAAGAAAAAAAAATATTTTCAGTTTGATTGTAAGTTCATGGCTCTTTATAATCCAATATCCTTAGTCCTAAAAGCATTTTTAGAGAAAAGTTTGTCAAACCGGTCATTATGGAAATCATTGGGGGAGGCCTATGTTCAGCTGTGGACATCCTATGTCTGAAATGATGATAATTATGTAGAAACGAAAAAGTTCATAGAAAATAGGCTTTTAAGTGGGGTCATGATCAAAAACAATTTAAGTAAAAAAAAGATGTCTTTGGTCTAGTTTCTAGTATCGTAGATACATACTACGTGCTACGCATTTTGTAGACGTAGTCGTAGCTACTGTATCTTCAAATACACAAATACTAGTAGTGATTAATTTGAAGAATAATGCAAGTTCGAAGATCCAAATAAGTTTAAAAAAGTTTCATGCGTGAAGTTATCTAAGTTACTCATTTAATATTTTCCAAAATATTTAAGTTAAGTGAAGCGATAAGGGTTTGACTGGTTAATGTATTCAGAGATTACTTAAATCCGCAGAACCATTCCATTCAATTATGGAAGCGTTAATTAATATGAGTCATTGGTAACACTTTTAATTACTTGACCGAGCTACAAAAGAGGCGCCAGCGAGAGGCGACTCGTTTTGAAGCTAGTTGGTCATTAATCAGAGAGGAAGAGGCTCTTCTTTCAAAGTAACTTTAGCATCACTCGTAATGTGATTCATTTAAAGCTTAATAAAAGGTTTTTAAAATAAGCTTTTGGTTTGTAAGATAGTTCAATTTTCATAATTTTCTTCTTCTATCTTGTGATTGTACCCACGGAGGTCACTGTGCTAGTATAAGCCATTATAAATATAGATTTCATAGCTGAATCAAACCAAAACCAAAAGGTTTGAAGAGCCTTTCCAAGTATGGACCTCAATATTATTCAACTACCTGAAAACCTATGTTAATTCAAGCCCTTAATGTTCTAAACAAATTAAGAAAAAAATACAAAATAATTTTTCAGCCTTTATGTTCAAGTTGTAAAATAAGCACTTAAAGTGGGTCAAATTCAGCCTGTATTTCGATAAGTGGGTCAAATTCAACCTGTTTTTTTTATTGGAGTATTATAAGTATTGGAGTATTCACACATGTTGGGACTGGCAAAGCTCGTAACAAACCAGGAAGAGCCAAATTGTTTGAAGAACTGAACCTTCAAGACTGAAAAAGTGAGCCAGATGTTTGAAAGGATTTTAAATTTATTGTATTATCACCGCTTCCTGGTTTCTGGCTTTACATTTCTCATCAATCTCTGGTTTGCGTCAATCAATGTTGGCAGTAGTTGGCTATAATGAAGGAATGGGAGGAGTTGGTGTCAGCATCCCGCCTCTTGCCACCTCCAGCGGTGCTCCCGGAATGCTCCCGCCCTATTGGTTGGGCTCCCTTCGCATATAACGGGCATACTTTAAACTAACTAGAGCGAATGCTCAGTACACATGTCGGCACGGCCCGCCGGCTATTGGCGATTGTATTTAGCTTGGCGGACCCACTCGGAGAGTTGTGTGCATTTTTATGGGCTTTTAAAAGTTGTTTAGAAATTCAATGCTTATTTTCATAGCTTAGGTAAATGACTGTTAAAATTAAAAAAAAAAAAAGGTAAATTAATACTAAAATAAATTTTATAAAAATATAAATAAAAGTGTACACTTACCTACCTGTTATATTGTCCCGTTATATTTTTCTATCGAATGATAGAAAAATATAACGGGACTGGTGGATGTAAAAAGCGAAAAACCTTGTTGCGTAGCGTCTCTTGTGGTAGGCTTGCCTTACCCTCAGCAATGGACTGCCATTGGTTGAAATGATGAAAAGTTTCACAACGACTAGATTTTATATCAAGATACGAGTTGTAATTTACCTGTGTAATGGTATTTATTTATCTAATCTTTAATTCCATAAAAATTGGTACATAAGGTGAACTTATTGCCATAAGGCATTCTTTACCAGTATACCTAACTTAGGCATAAGCAGATGGTATCACGATCACAATCAACAACGACAAAAAAAAATAGATGGAACCATAAATCTTAAAACTTTTTTACTATTTACCGATTTTAAAAAATCGTTCATTTACATTATTCAGCAGTATTATTTTCCACAGACTATTTTCAGCAGTATTATAGGTATGTAACTAGTCAGACAATTTAATAAATAAGGTAATTTGATTATTTTGAGACATGCTATCACTATTAAATCATCGATGTGAGTTCATCGATTTAAGTTTTCAGTGATGATGACATACAATAAAATTCATATCTAGTACTTACTGAATTTATAGTGAAAATTACTAATAAACTTTATCACAAAAACACAAATAATTAAGAATTTAAGGAAAAGCATAGCCCATCCTAATAATTATTTTCGCTACTACTTAGATATTGCTATAAATATGTAAAGTGAAACTTCCGTTTATTAACTCCGTTGGTAATTTGTATCATTAAGTCTATTCTTGATGACGCTTTTATTACAAACTGAAATAGAAAAAGCAAACTCATGAATAAAAAAAATAAAATCACTCTTTAGATGATAGAACTCTCACACACTTTTGACCGTTCAAAGTAGCGAAGAAACACTAGAAAAAAATCAAAAAATAAAATTGGGTAAAGAAACCAAAGGCTCTAGAAATCATAGATCGATAAACACTGGATATCCGAGTGACTATTCTTTTGTATCGATAATCGCGATCGGCTTGACGACCGCGGTATGTCAACGCTACGATATCGTGATGCGCTCGCATTGTGAACGCATAATTACTACGTAAATGCACTCTTGAACAAAAGACACAATTACGTATGGAAGTTCACATCACACCGTAGCCTTTACCTTGTAACCTATTGTTCGACTGGTGACATTGCGACTTGTAATCGATTGGTGACAGATTCTGTTGAGGAATGCGCGTTATGTCATTTCTAGAAACAGTTGCTAGGGGAAACTGGTAACAGGGCTTTCAGAAACGGTAAATACTCGCATAGTATCATATACGAATAGTTATATAGTTATAATAATTTTTTTTAATTTTTGTAAATTATTTTTGGTTTTCAGGTTTAACTACGTCCAACTTTGACCTCACATCATTTACAAATAAATCGTTAATCATTAGTTTATAATAATTACGAGTACATCTCTCAAATTCTAGCTAAAATGTTGCACTTGCATGTAACTACATTCGAAAACAACAATGTTACATGTTAATGTACAAAAATAATAAAAATCAATTAAACTTTTTTCAGGAAATCCGGTGTCTACGCTCGCGTCGGTGTGACTGTCACCCACAGTGAGGTCATTAACGCACAAAAAGCGTGCCTTTCTCAGGGAAATCTGAATTGGTTCGGTTCATATTAAGTGGTTTCAAAACGTGGGGTTATTTACACATCCTGATACTGAGATTACAGAGAATTCAGTTACGTTTGACCTGTGGAAACCCCGTACTCATTGTCTATGCAAATCCTAGATTCTACAAATGTCCAACGCAAATGGCAATCGGAAATGAGAATGCACGACTGCGTAGGATCCCATCTACGTAAGTATTTTTTGTGCAAGTATTACTTGTTATGACTAATCTTTTCAATATAGTACAATTGAAAATTTGACATTTAGATTATAGATTATCTATTTCTATAAAGCAGTAAATAAGGTTTCCTTACGTTTGAAAAGTTGTGATAAGATAAGAATTTGTAACAAATAATTAAGTACATATTTCTTCTGTTTAATTTCAGGATCAACGGTTTTCCTAACCTGAAAAAGGACAAAATACACTTCAAGAATCATTCATTTATACAAATGGTGTAAAAACTTGGAAATTGGAAAAGCCATCATAGAGAGATAACAAACGATGAGCCAGTTTTATATGGGTCTAAAGGTACAGCATTTATGAATACATTAGATTATAATCAGAAAAATCTGTTACGTTAGCAATTGTATTGTTAGTCAGATTTTTATTGTTCTAGCTCAGGGCACAGGCCTTCCCCTAGTACACAGATGGGCTCTAAAATGATGTGATTTCATGAAGTTAGAAGTACTAGGCACCAACATCCCAAGTATGGTTAAAGGCAATTGTAAAATCCGAAAACGGTACGTACGTTTGAGAGGTAATTTCCGTAAGATAGGAAAAGAGTATTTTAATTTAAGATGTTTTATTCTTAAAGTAGGTTACTTGTATCTTTGTAAATCGACGTTCTAAGTACTAGGGATGTACCGCTTCGCTAAATATTGTTTACTTGTAAATAACTAAGGTTATAAACCTTCACCAGCTAAATAGCGTGAAGTAATTTCGACTTATAAGGTGGTCTAATAAAGGTTAGACTTGAGTTGGTGTTTCGTCATATCCCAATAAACTTTATGAAGGTACTACGACCATAATAAAATCGAGACACCCTCCTACAACAAATCGATAGTGTGTTTGCATCAATTTAGTTCTTGCGGCTAAGTACCTACGGTATTAAATTTGATATTGTAGATTCGTTGTAGTCAATTATTGTAAAGTATGGAGACTTATGTTCAGCAGTGGACGACGCGCGACGTCCTGTAGCTGAAATGATGATGATGATGAAAATTAATACTAGTGACAGTTTGCTATCGCAAACGGCTTTGTAGCCACGCTTTTCTTAATGGAAATGTTGAAAATGATTTGAGTATGGAAGACAAGAGGAATTGAGGATATAAATCATTTGTAAGTTACGACTACGTAACTACATAAAACTATTGAGTCACTAAGATACTGTAAGCCTTTTTATTCATTGAAGGTCTTTCATTCACGAATTCCTTTCGGTTGATGGTATGCCGAAAGTTCTGCGTGACTAATATGACGTTAGAAGGATTCTGGGAACATCTCAGGTAGAATTTGAGGAAATGCCATTCAATTTTATAGTGTTAGATTATCTTTTAATTATAGGTAAAGTAGTTACAGGTAAGTGGTCTGTAACCATACAGGTTTCATGATGGGTAATAAAGTTAGAAAGTGTAATAGTACCTACCTACTTATTTTTTCATTGACTTTAGGCCTGTAGAGTGTAGGTACAGGACATGTATCCTGGATCGAATTTCATTTAAAATCATTTAAATTGCGGTCAAATACTTTCCTTGTTCTGCATAAAAAATAAATCTTTTTTTTTGACCGGAAAGGCTAGGTATTTTCAGCCATTGTGTTCACATGTAAACAATAATGCAATATTCCCATCCCTGATTAGCCTAAACTGGACACTCATCTTACGACGAAACATGGCAGTTAACAATAATTTACGTATGGACAAAGACTCATTTGAATATAAAAGTGCGATCGTGTGACCAATTATTATAATCTAGTTCCTACGGAATCGCTGCAACCTGCTACGAGAATCGCAGTAACACTTACACTACCGGAAAAACTGGAAAGTTCTACCATAAAATGGTTTTTTGTGCGATTTGAATACGGCGCGGTCCCACGCTGGTGGCCATCCTTGAGCCTTTTTACCACATCTAATTAATTGATGTAATTAGCATCGTGGTTATCACTGGAAATTGTCTTGGATGAATATGTTTAATATCAGTAATATAACCGCAACCGATCAATAGAAATTTATTTTTATTTGGTCGCAGTTCAAGCGATTACGGCAGATTTTTTTACACCATTAATAAACTTGAGTATGGATAATAATAGTACGCAATCATTATTGAAACGAAGCAACTAATTAACTATGAGTAAGTATTAAGATGCAATTAAAAAAATGATTCCTTCATCAAATAGCACTCCAAAAAAGGCTTATTGGTGTAAGTAAATGAGAAACACAATTACCTCCAATTACTACTTACGACTTCATTATGGAAAGCCTTTATCCAGCAGTGGACGTCATTTGGCTGAAACGAACGAACGAACTACTTACCTAGTATATCCGGCATTAATAAAACATTCGGCCTACCCAGCCCACCTGGCCAGCGTGGAAAGTGTAGGCCAATCCACCATTTCTCCTGCAAAACCCTCTCTAATTAACAGGAGGCAGCAGGATTTACAGGAGCTTTAACTTTGACTTCCTTGACTTAAGGTCCTCTGTCCCCTAGATGGGGCAGAGGGCGTCCACAACAGTCCTCCATCGCGTTCGGTCTTGAGCTTCGCGTTTGATCTCGCTCCAAGTCTTGCCGATTTTCTTCACCTCGTCTGCTACAGTGCGCCGCCAAGTATGCTTGGGGACCACTACAGCTTTAAAGAGACTAATTACCGGATGATGACGATAATGATGATTACCTACCTAGCATTTAATTACTAAACTGCTTACCTTAATTTTATCGCTTAACCTAGGAAAGTTAATCAAGATAAAATTAAATTAGGTCGTATCACTAGCCACAAACGGAGGTATAAACAGCGCGTGGCAACTTTAGCGAGTGACCGCAAGCGTGCGGTTTGGCGTGGTATGGCCAATAAAAGCCGTGAGTACATGATATGACATGACCGTCTGGGGGTAGAAGGTTATTATGAGATCATTTGTAGTAAACATGATCCTTGAGGAGACGAGTATATTTTTTTGTCAGGTGCATACTTATTTCATTCATCAATCATTACTTTAGATACTCGTAGCTCCATGGCAATTAGAGGACCTCTAGTAAAATATTCCTTAAACAATGTGCTATTAGACTCTAGAAATGCTCGTAAATCGTAATCTAGTCAAATTAAATTAATATGTGTAGTATTGTCAATAACTGCCCTTGCCTAATAGGTATATTGTTTTTTAAAATTTGGCAAAATGCACTTAACTAACGTCAATACTAACACTACAAGCCATATTTTGTGACGTCCTTTGAATTTCATGTTTATATAGCTTCAATCAGTCATAATTATGTGACTAGAAACTATCTCTAATATCTATTAGAGTAGTGTGATAGCTTTGGCATATCAGAACCATTAAGAGATCTCATTTCACTGTTACATAAAACACGTGATGCGCCCGCGCCGGAGAAAAAACGGCTGATTCCGCACGACAAGTCGACTAATGGCGACTGCAGTTAAGGTGCACATCTACTGCGGATACAGTGCAACTGTCCCGCTCTACTTAATATCTTTAAGGCTTTATTTTTCATTTTCTTTCTTTTTTTAATTAAACAAAAGGATACAAATTACATAAATTCTGTAAATTATTTTTATTAATCCTTGTTATATTTCAATCGTTTATGATAATAATTAATTACACATTTTTTTTCACATTGAAAAGGTTTATTTGTCGTGATTGTTGTTTGGAATGAGTTTGACCGAACACCGTTTTGGGTAGTGAAATCAGTAGCAAACGCTTGCTACGAGTTTCATACATTAGGCGTAGCACTGTAACGTGTACGAGTATAGCATTGTAGCTGGTAGAGTTTTCGTTGAATCTTTGACGTGACGTGACCTCACTAGTCTCAACAACTTATTGAGTGGTCTGAAATGTTAACGCTCGTCTTCACAAACATTACTACGAGGTCTCAAAGTCCGTGTGGACGCACAGCGTGACACACGCACCAATCACAGTGCTCTACTCAACGCTGTGCGTTCGATTTGCTGCTTCATCTAAATGAATGGTGTGTTAGTACCCTTACACTGCACTCGCCCGGCCTGTATTTCCTGTTTCCCTCCGGTTACGCAAAACTACCACACGATTCAAATTCCATCATTTTGCCTCGTCTTGACCATTGTAATCGCTTCTTAGACATTTGCTTTGTCTCCGATATGAGTGTTACGTAATTTATGCATATCAACTGGTGCTGACAACTTTTTAATGTTTGCATTGTGTTAACGCTATAATTAGCTTCTTTGCGTACAAGGAAATTAATGTTTTGTTTATCAAATAAAATTTATTGAACATTCTACTGAGTTTACTTCTACAAAAATGTGTTTGTTGTAATATAAGTGAATAACGAATTTTTTTTATTGTTGTGTCTATTTTGATCCCATGATACCTGTTACTATGAATGGTAACATAACTGTGGGTTTGTTTAAGCATTGAATGAAATCTATAAATCAAGCTTAGTTTACCACAAGAGCAAGTTGATGGTTGTGGTATGTATGAAATCTGGTTATTTAAACTTGTCATCGCCTTATAATTGCTGTCGACATATTGATCTGGACATACCTGTTGTAAAGGGATATGTTGACTTATATCATCTAAGAATAGATCGCGTATAAATCATTTGCTATTTTTAAAACAATATACGTGGAAAGCTGACGTCTGAATGCGGTGTAATGAGTAATTAATATCAATACACCGAGCAGATTTATTACTGTAATTTATTCAATTAAAGTAGTCTTTGTCATGGACTCACGTGTGTTGTTTTGTTACTTCACATAGGTACAATTGGTAACCACAAATTTATACTGGGAATGAAAATAAGTTAGTATTATTTAGAATGACAACGGGAAAAAGCTGTTCAAGTCCCAGATTCAAGTTGGAATTTAAAACACGGAGGAAAGTTTATCGAATTTATTGAGTTGACAGTTGATTATTTTAAAATAAGAACAAAATTATGTACGAACTACCTTTGAAACAAGTGAAGCACGATTAAAACGTTAACATAAATTGGCGACAAACCATCGCAGCCACAAAAGAACAGCTCAACATTATGTCTTTTGTTTTGGATCCGAAACTAAACGTGCATCGATAGGGTGTTCCAATGCAAATGACCCGACTCGCAATTGTCTGGGCTTCTGCCCACACCATTAATATACAAGTATGTGTATTATACAATGAATATACACTGAGCTTATGCAATGCATCTTTGGCAAACATCCCTGCGGCTCTTACTACATATTTAAGCATTTTGTCATCTATTTCCTTCGATAGATATACGAGTTACACAATGATGAAGAACTTGAATTATTTGCAAGCAAGGTATGTTCGTAGACGAATATGATTGCCACCTTAGGTTTCCATCGTTGCGATACCTAAACATAAGGAGTTCAATTTTATTAAAAGTGACTGACTCTAGGAAAGTTTATAAGTGATTTGGAAATAATGCTCTCATTTTCTCTCTATTAGTCGAATAAAAAGCCTTCAGATTTCAGCTTGACTTACAGATACAGATGTATTAGGTACAGAGAAGTGTATGCTATAATGAATGTATGGATTTTT